TGCGCTGACTCAGCGACGTCATTCGCGAATCAAAATGGAAATCTTCGCGCTCGCGATTCGCGTTTCTGCCGCTGGGTAATCGACCACTCGTAGGTCCGCATCGCGTTGCCGGTTTGTTTCCGCGTAAAGATCGCGCATGGCCGTGGCATTCTACATCGCGAGCAAATGCTTCATCTGCCCATGAAAACTAGCATGAATAGAGGCAGCCATTTCAGGAAGGCCCTTGCCCTCTGCCGCCGTGCATGTCGCGATGCACGGCCATCCGCCCGTTGTATAATACATAAATAACGGTATGGCGCATGTTTCTCTATGACTTTGTTGAGGAGATCGCGGCTGTTCTAGCGTTGCCCGCGCCCTGATCGAATGGCAACCCTCGCGCGGGCGGCGCGAATCTTTTCGCGGCCTGTAAACAATCGGACTTCGTTCTGGGCATCCCGCGTCACCCTGCCCACCTGGGCGACCATGTGGATTTGCCGCGCGGGCCGCTCCCGCCACTGACGCACCCCGTTGGATTTTTCCGTGGAATCCGACGCAATGAGCACGGCAAGGCGCTCGGGCCGCCCTGAATCCGTCAAGTTTGCAGCGTCGGCGCTCGGACCCAAAGCTTCCGCGACCCATGGCTGCGCCCCCGCGGCGTCGGGCGAGGCCGAAGACGTCGCGCGCGCTGGAAGCAGCTTCCAAGACTGGAGCTCATTGTGGCCCAGGACGGGCCCCAACTTCACCGAGGCGGCTCGACCTGCCTGTTGCCAGTGGTCAAGGGGATCAGGCGGAGCCGCGCGGGCGTCTCCTCCGTCGCCACTCCTTCTGGGATACCCATCGACGGAGCCAAAGACAGAACGGCGGTTGTCCTTGCCCCCGTCGCCCTCATCGTCGGGATCGCCCCCGCCACCTCCAGCGTCGCCCCGGGTTGAACCGGACTCGACGGGGAAGCCGGCCAGGTTCTCCCCCGCCCGCGGGGGGCAGCGCCGTCGATGGACTCGGCGAATTTACCGGCCGAAACTGCGTGTGATGCGCCGCAGTGGGGACGCGGGATCTGTCCTCGAGTGCGCGTTCTGACATTGATAAGGGGCGCGCGCCCTGTAAGTTCTGGCGTTTGATAATGGAAGAGCTCGTTGAATCGCCCTCTGGTCGAGCGCCTGTCTCGCGTTCTGCAGCCCCTTCCTTTCTTCAAAGATTCGATCCAACATCCCTGTCTGCGCGGGGGGGACGCATGGCCCCGCGCGCCGATGCCCCAATGACGAAACAACGTTTGTTTTCCATATTATTCCAAGCGTTTCTGTTCTGCCTCTGCCAAAGCGCTTGCCTTTTCTGAGAACAAATCGCACGTCGCTTTGAGCCCGGGTCTAGGCGGCCCTTGGAACGCAGTCCTCATCTTTGGCATCGAACAAACTGGCACCTTTCAGAAAAGACATTGCTCCTCTGCCAACCGACTGAGTCGGGGCAGGGGTAGGCTGACCTGGCGACGAGGCCCGCGCACTCCTAGGGCGACACTAAAACCGCTGTCCAACAGGGTGCTCGACAGTACTGGGCAGCGGGGGATAACTTTTCTGGCGCCACAGGCTCGGCCTGCAACGCGGCCGGCCCCCCCCCCCCGCAGTCTCGCTAGCCCCTGGGATAATTCATTTGGGAAAAGGCTCAGTTTTGATCGTGCGTTCTCTTGCCTGATCATACATCCAATGATGTCGCTCGTTTCCTCGGGGGCGGCTCGCTCCTCGAGCGCCGCCGGCTGGCCCGCGGCGCGAGTTCACCCCCCGCCCTGCTGCGCAATATTCACAGCGCCTGAGCCGCCCTTTCACGAAGGACTTCCGCCATTTTCTGCTCAGCTCCCGACGCCGCCTCTCTGGCGGCACGCAGCTGCCGCTGCATCTGCCGCTGCTTTTCAGCCGCCGTTTCTGCCGCTCTGCCCCTCCCCCATGATTGCCAGTCTAGCTGCTTCCACGATTCTCATTTCACGTTCGGCACCCTGCAGTGACAGCTCAGCTGCCTCTGAGAATGCCCGCTGACTCAGGTGCGCCTGTTGCGCCATCAACATCAAGCGCGCTCTCTTTGTTTTTCTCTCTCTCTCTCTCTCTTTCTTTCTGGCTGCATCTGCTGTGGTCGTTCGTTCTGGCGTCGCTCACTTGCCTCCAAGTGCATCTTCACTTGGGCGACCACCTGATCATCGGAGAATCTTGCTCTCGCAGCAGCCTTTGCTTGTTGCTTTTCTTGCCGCGCAAGGGTGGTGAAGCATTTGCAACTGTGATAGCGCATCTCGAGACAATCCGGACAAATCCAGCCGACGCCGCAACGTTTGCAATCGTCAAAACACGCTCCGCACACGGGTCAAAGACATGGACCATTCGCCCTTCCCGCTTTTCACGGGCAGCGACTCCCTGCCTTCATTGGACAGTTCGGTCACGGCGACCAGCAGCTCACCGGTATCCAACTTCAACTGGAAGAAGACTGTCCTGCTACTATAACTAGGGCTGCTCCTCAACCCGGGGCGGCCGATGATGGGCGATCCGAGCTTGACGCGTCCTAGCGGACTGGGGGGCGTCGATGGGGGTATCGTGGCATTCGAATCAATCCTCCACTTTTGGCGTTCCCTTGCTTCTTCCGTCTATTGATCTTGGTGAATTGACTCCGTCAAATAAGAGAATGGCATCATCGTCCATTCCGTCGGCTTCACGGGTGATGGGACAGTCGGACACCCATGCAAGACTCCTGGCTCAGTCGAAAATCTGCATAGGTGGCCATCTTTTCTCCATAGTGCTCTCTGGCCGCCCCTTCGGTCGTTTCGGAAACAACGTTTCCCCCGTGGGACCCCTAGGGTGTTCTGACAACTCGGGCTCACGGGGTTTCAACATGTCGATTGTGAGATCCCGACTTGTTCCGCTATCTGCGTCGGTCGGTGGTAAGATACCTGGGGGATGGTGAAACTGCCCCCCGCTGCGCCGCCCCATTCATCTGCCACATTCGGCGGGACATCATTGGAACTTCTGGTTAAATCTGCGGTTCCCACAAAATTATGTGCTGATCGAGCGACTAAGTCGCACGACTCGCCTTTTCAACGATGAACTCAATGAGATTATGTCCGTCCCAATCGAAGCACGGAGCACGACACACGCCCGCACACAGGCATCGTCTTGGGTGTTGCGGGTGCGGCGCCGGGGCGCCGGAGCGACAGAAAATGATGCCAGCTCAGTAATCCGATACGAGCTGGTACCAGTGTATGTCAATATGCCGAAGGCTCGCGTATCCTACCTCAATTCCACAGAAGGGCTGGGATTGACTAGATCAACCCAACCGGATACAGTGGAAATCTGAGTCTTCGTTTGGCGGGTGAATCGAAGGCACGTTGATTGGCAGCATGGAAGGAAAAACACGGAGCGGCTGATTTACCAGGTCGTTAACATGAACTGATCCAGGGTTTTCGGCTGATAGCCAAATATTTGCCAGAGGAGTCGAACATTCTGACAGTATGATTGGTATGTTGTCTTGTTCTACTATCATCAATGGGTACATCTCCCCAATAGGTTGGATCAGAAGATTCGACCTGGCAAAAGTAAAAGTTCGTCAATCGAAAGCGTACATCTAAGTGTGTGTAGGGAGGGGAGCCGGCCGACCGAGGGCGTGCCCCTTTTCCACCGAACTGTAGCCTCATAAGGCTGCGGATCAAATGTCGATGTCAGAAGATGATGTCGGCGACGGCGGCGGGAGACGACGAGGGAAGAGTCATCTTAACGCGTCGCGTTTGTGAGAAAAGGCGCGTCAACCGCAGTGGGGACGCCGGGTATGCAGCCCTGCGGCCAGGTCGCGCGCACCAATCAGTAGGCCGACCTCATGGAGGAAGCCAGCGGCGAGCAGAGAAGCCGAGAGCGGAGCGGATGGTGCAGCCCAGGAAGGCCTGCTAGAGCGACCACCGCACACCGCACGGGCAGGACGGGCCGGCGTCTGCCCAGGCAGGCCAGGGAGAGCGAATATAAACAGACACACACACACTATTCAAGATGAAGCGCATGTATCAAGCTCGAGCGCTGCGAGCAAAGGAAGGAGGCGCGACAAATCAGGAAGGGTGAGTCGAGTCCGCTACAGGTAGTAAGCCGTCGTGGCCAGACGGGGGGCCAGGGACGGCGTGACAGAACCGCGGCTGATCGCGCACACGACCGCACGAGGCAGGCCGTGCCGCAGCTATGTGCGCACACACGCGCACATAAGCACGTTGCATTATCTGGCGCGCCAAAGGGGTGCAGTCAATGGTTCGCAAGGTGCGCATGAGAGATATACCCAATGTAACGTAGGAGCGAAGCCGAAACTAAAACTCCAATACATCGAACTGAATCGACGGCTGAACAGAAAAAGACCATGTGGATACAGGGCGAACAGAAAATGAGAACACAACACACGCACGCAAGCACACAGACACACAGACACACACGCACACACGATGGTGCCAGGGAGGCCTCCTGGCACTTCGCCAGTCGGGGGCCTGTGGGCAACGAAGTGCATGAGCAGCAGCATCAGCAGGCACTTGCAGGGCGTCGCCATCGTCAGCAACATCAGTTACAGGAACTCGAGGAGGGGTGCACGAAGGAATTTGAAGAGGAGTGCCCAGAGGAACTTGACGAGGGGTGCACAGCCCATCGGTCTGAACGACTCAGCTATAGGAAACTGTCACATATCGACTATCTTCATCCGCAGCAGCTGGACCTTGCATTTCGATTCTGCGCCACCGTGAACGGCACCTCTGTGCTGACCGGTACACACTTGCAGAAACACTTCGCCGCCGTCAGGAGCATGGTTTGCATGATGTTGAGGAGGAGTGCAAATCACACCAGCACGAGCAGCACAACACTTCTAGAACAACATGTCACGTACCGGCCCACGCCATCGAGAACGAGGAGGATGGGGAGACGGATAATGATGTGGAGATCGGAGGGAGTGAGCAGGAGAAGGAGGAGGAGGGACAGAGGACGGAGGAGGGAGAGGAGGAGAAGGAGAGGAGGAGGAGATGAGAGGAGGGGGAGGACAGGGAGGACGGGGAGAGCAAGATGAAGACACCCTGATCCTGGGCAAGCACGTGCGGGCAAGGCGTACTAGATGGCGCTAGCCCGAGCCCGCGATCCGCGAGGCGACGAGACAAACGGCGCGGAGCGGGGCGAGCCAGTGGCCGCCGCTGCTCACGGCCCTGTCGGCACTGGCCTGCAAGTCTGCATGAGGACAAAATCCTCCTGCGGTGGCGGCTCCTCTGCGGCGGGCGTTGGCTCCAGGCCCGGCAGGGTGCTGGGCGCTGCGAGCCCGAAGCCGATGCGCTCGGCGCCGAGGTCGAAGACCGTGTAGTACCGCCGCAGCAGGGGCTCCCCCAGCAGCAGCGTGCGCTCCGCGAGGCCTCCGGCTCGGCGGACCGTGCCGTTGTGCAGGAAGCGGCCGGCGGCCGCCTTGGACTCCGTGGACACCGAGTGCAGCTGCGGCCCGCACCCCCCCGCCGCCCTCGCAGAGGGCCCAGCGTACTCGCGGGGCCCGAGCGTCAGGGTGGCGCCCCCCTCCAGCACGAGGTGCAGGTCCGGGCCCACCGCGCCGCTGCATGGGCCGCCCTCGGTCGAGGAGACGGCCAGCGCCTCCAGAAGTGCGGGCATCAGATCGGAGGGCACGCCCAGATTGGCCGAGCTGCTGTCCACGACGCCGCGGCAGCCCCCGGAGAAGCGCTCGCAGAGGCCGAGCGACCTCCCGCCCACGCGGATGGAGCTGATACCGACCTGCCAGAAGCCCTCCTCCGGGCGGGCCACGGGCGTCCACGAGAGTGGTGCGGCGAGCCGCGCCTCGTTGTAGCCGCCGAAAGAAAGCCGCCGAACCTTTTGAGTCACCGGCGTGTTAGCCGTTAGGCCCCCTCCCCCTCCCCTCACGGGGAGGGGGGGAGAGACGTCACAATCTGGAAGCGGGGGTGCTCGGGAATCCTGGGGAGGACTCGCGGAGTATACAGGAGGTCGGGGCCCCTTGCAGACAGGCCCATGACGGCCATCAGAGAGCGCAAACCATGCCTCAAGAGAGCCCCGGGAGGCCCTCTGGACGGCCAAGGGCGACCCCGGAAGGCCCAAAAAGCCAGAGAACAGCCAGAGGAGAGGAGGAGGCGTAGGAGGAGAAGAAGGAGGAGGAGCGGACGGAACGCTTGTCGGGCCGTGTCTCCCCACGAAGTGGTGTGTATCTCGGGAGCCGCGCCGTCGCCCACAAATAGGGCGAACTGGCTCGGCAACCCCGCGGCCTTGGCAAGCCGCCCGGGGAGGCTGAACTCTGGCCCTATGGATAGGCTCTCGAGGCCCAGGCCGACAATACCGTCGAAGGGCATGTCATCAAAGGGCCCACCACTGAGGTTGGTGGCCGCCACCAGGCCGACCTGCGCGCAGGCCGTGCGGACCAGGGGCCCCAGGCAGAGCGTGTCGCGGACCAGGTCGCCAGTCGCCCTGCCGGGTGCGGCGTCGTTACTGTCCAAGCGGATGTCTACCCGGTTGCCCCGCCTCCCCTCTGGCACATGGGCCCCGTCGAGGCGCAGGTCGACAGTTGGCGAGTAGCGCCTGTGCAGCAGGCACGGGGTCGCCTCGCACCTGACGGAGTCCAGGATTACCTGCCCCGAGCTGGTATCGAAAAACACCTCCATCCCCAGCTCGGCGCCGCCCGTGCCCACGCGCACAGCTCCGACGTAAAAGCTCTTCATCATCGGGGCAGTCCCGTTGTCAGCCTCGGACCCGACCTCGACGAGGCGCCGGACCAAAGGCAGCACCACTGGCCCCTGTTCTGCTGCCCCCCCACGCGTGCCCCGGCGCAGGAAGGCAGCGAGCGGCCCCACACCTGGCGGAGACCCCCCCGCGCGCCCGCATAGGGCTAGCGCCAGCGTCGCAAAGAGGGTACGGGCCATTCGGTGGGTCTTCGCTTGCACTGGTTCGCTCCCAGATGGTAGTGCGTTCAAACGTCGTGAATGTCAGGCAGCGCAGCTGGAGCCAGAAAGGCTCCAAACTACATGCGTAAGGACTGGCGTACGACATGAATGATGCGAAACAACGGGTAGGTCGGTCACGACATTTCCCATGCATGCGTTTAAGAACGAAAAGCCGGGCATGTCGGCCCAAAAAGGACTAGATGCGTCTAACCAAGCTGTAAATATCGAAGAGCACGTTCGTCACACAAATCCAACTCGCCCCCGCGTGCACGCGTTCAAACGTGTCGCTCCACAATCCGTTGAGCCCGAGCTTGGTACGCGATTCGGTTTGGAACTACCAGGAAGCTCAATTCGCAGACCGATCGTTACTTCAGGCAGCTGCAGAGATCTGTTTAATTATTCGTTCCTGGTTGAATGCATGACGATACCAGAGCGTCTCATCCAAACAGTTTAGGAGGGCTAACAGAAGAATCGAAGCTGAGACCCCGATGGGAGGGGCCATGTTGCCAGCAAGGTCAACGACTGTCATGGCAATTCCAGCAAACACCTTGTGGGACGGGACACTGTCGGAAAAAAATCCGTCGGCACCCAACAGAAACCTGATGTTCAGGCCAACAACGGCAGGGACGCACAGACAACAAGAACATATCCGCCGACAGTAGATTGTCCCAGGGCTGCGGCCACAACGGCGAATGTTCAAAACTGCTTGCCCTAGTTGTTCTGCCTTCCAGTGCAGTCCCCCAGCATCGGCGAATCCGAAATCAAACATTTCATTGTCATCTCCGTGCAACGCGACTGCGGCCAACCACAACAAATCCACCCTTCTGGGCAACGAAGGCGCGAATCACAACAAATCCAACCCTCAGGGCAACGAGAGCCAAGACCCATTGGGTGCGACCCCATGGGCAAACCCCGCATGTCCATCCCGCAAGGCATTCAAGAACGGGGCGTCATGGGCAATACCTTGCTAATCACCGCGCCCACAAGCCGCGTATGAGCAAGGCTGCGACCATTTGGTCTGGAGCTTGCAGAACAAGCACAGCGGCTGAAGCCGGGACATCATCCGCGGAGCACCATGGGGCAAGCACCGCAACCCCGACCTACACAGCAAGCGAGGCCAGGACCCTTTTGGACAGACTGCCTACGGGGTGCAATCGATGGGAACCAGCCTTGTGGGTGCAATCTCTGAGGCGCGATGCATGCTTCTATGGATGTATGGGGTACCATTACTTCTTGTTCGCAGTGGGTTGTCGACCCCATTGCTTGCGCAATCATCCTATCCGCCCACCCGCAACTTGTCTTGCAAGGCCCATGCGGCAACGATTGCGATGGCTATTTGGCGGTGGCAGGCGCATCGCTACGGCCGCGCTGGTACCCCGCAAGCTCCCGCGCACAGCGGCCAGCTGGTCTGGCGTGACCGACGCGGCTGTGATGGCGCTGACCGCTGGGGACCCCCCGTGCGTCCCACAGGCCGCCCTGACGAGCGGGCACTTCAGTGCCAATCGGTGACTCGGGCGGGCGCGGTATCATGGCGACGTCGACAGCAACCAAAGGTCCCAGTGGCGCAGCTCGCATGCGGTTCCCCCGCCCAGTACAACGTGTCGTGGCCCCAGAGGGAGCTCCACCGAAGGTCCCAGTGGCGCAGTTCGCATGCTGTTCACCCATCCAGTACAGCGTTTCGTGGCCCCCGAGGGAGCTCCACCGAAGGTCCCAGTGGCGCAGTCCGCATGCATGCGGTTCCCTCGCCTAGTACAGCGTTTCGTGGCCCAAGAGGGAGCTCAACCAAAGGTCCAAGTGGTTCAGTTCGCATGCGGTTCCCCGCCTAGTGCAACGCTTCGTGGCACCATAGGGAGCTCCACAGAAAGTCCCAGGGTGCAGTTCGCGTGCGGGTCCCCCGCCCAGTACAGCGTTTCGTGGCACCACAGGGAGCTCCACCGAAGATCCCATTGGCGCAGTCCGCATGTGGTTCACCCACCCGGTGCAGCGTTTCGTGGCCCCAGAAGGAGCTCCACCGAAGGTCCCAGTGGCGCAGTCCGTATGCGGTTCCCCCGCCCAGTACAGCGTTTCGTGGCCCCAGAGGGAGCTCCACCAAAGGTCCCAGTGGCGCAGTCCGCGTGCGGTCCCTGCGCACAGTGCAGCGCTTCGTGGCCCCAGAGGGAGCCCCACCGAAGGTCCCAATGGCGCAGTTCGTATGCGGTTAACCCACCCAGAGCAACGTTTCGTGGCCCCAGAGGGAGCTCCACACACGACGAGACCCACAACTTCGGCACTCACAACTGCAAATTGTTGGGTTCTTCGCCAGGCTAATTTTAACTGTCCCCCCAGACTGGTTCTTTAACCGGTTCTAGACACTATGACATGCGAATCCGACCCCCTCCCCAACTGCGGACAAGTGTGGATGGACTCAGCCCAGAGGCAGAGCGGGCGGGGCGGGCAACGAGCCTCCCTGGGCCCCGCACTCAGAGTAGACGAAGGCGGCACTAGGTGAACACAGCGGGGCCAGCTTCCAACCGTTAGCGCATGTGGCTGGCAAGATGCGGGCGAGCTGCAGGCGGGCAGCAGTTCACCCGCTGCAAGCACCGAGCGTGGCTGCAGAACTCGGACAGATTCGCACAGGTAGGTCGCGGACAGATCCGGTTCGCATGCAGGTCGCGGGGAGGGGGCGACAATCGCGCGAATACGAAAAGCCCGCGGCAGGGCGGCGGGCGCCGAGGGTCCCAGTCGACCAAAGTGATTGAAAGTTGCGGACAAGTGGCAGGCGGGCCTGTGGCGAGTCGTGGGTGGCTCCGGATGCCAATCGGGGGCGCGGGTGGCAGGGGCGGGTCGCAAAAGCATGTTGCGGGGGCGGTTGACGGGCAGCTACACACAGAACAGCTAGGAGCCACAAAAGTCCGAATCAAATCCGAATGACACCATGCCGTTCCCCATTCCTTGAGAATCTCCTCTCTCTCTCTTCCGTCCCCCCTCCCTTCCACTCCCCTTTGCGCTGCGGTCTCTGGACTCGCGCGGCGGGTTCGATCTGGGGTCCCCTGAGGCCGTCCTTTTCACTGCTGCGTGTGTGTCCACCTCCCCCTGCTTGCACGGCCGTGGGGCGCTGGAGGTAATTCTCCCCCCGCGGTGACCGTTGCACAGGGGGGCCGCCTAACCTGCCGAGAGCGTCGGGACACGGGGGAGGTCAGCCTCTGTCCTCCCCGACCTGTGCACCCCGTCGCCTCCCACCCTTGGGCCCTCTCCTGGTTCTGCACAGCCTCTTGGTGTATGCAAGCCGGAGAGGGGCTTCCAAGGCATGCAACAGTGGCTCATGTCTTGTGCAGCCGACGGATGCCCTATTGTTGGCGGCCGAGCCGAGGGTCGATACGTGAGGTGAGGGGGCCATAGTGGGCGCTCCGAAAAAGACCGCCCAATGTGTTGCACCTGCTGCTCGGTGCATGTTGCTTACACCATCTCCCACTGATGCTGTTAGGAGTCGCCTCTTTGGCTGATGTGGTGAAGCCGTGGAGGTCAAAAAACCCTTCCACTCCCCTCGTTCCTCTAATCACTGCCTGCTGCCTCCCCCCCCTCGCTCCCTCTCATCTCCTCCGCTTCTTTTCCTTTGCCGTTCCCCGCTTCTTGTCCTTTGCCGTTCCCAATGAACCTTTTCCCTCTCGTCGCGTTCCGTCCCGTCCCGTCCCGTCTTCCTCTCCCCGTTCTCCACGCCCCCTATCCATTCACGTCGCGTCGTCTCGCCTCGCCTATCCTCCACTTCTTTCCCCCCCTTCATTTCCAATGTATGTCCAACCTTTCTCGCTCTTCCCCCACTCTGCCCCGACCCCCACCCACCCACCCACCCCCGAACCTTTGCTTGAACAATCACCCTCAGGTGGCCGCGAGGCTCATTTTCTGCAGCGTTGCTGAGCAGCGACTTTCTGCGAGCGCGCAGCGAGACTCGGTATGAACACTCGCGCGCACCTGTGAAGAACCAACTTCTGAACACTTGTTCTGCACTCGGAGTGAGGTTCGTGGCTTTTTCGAGGTGGAAAAGGAGTGAGAAGCGGTAAGGGAGGGGGAGGGGGAAGGGGAAATGGAAGAGGAAACGACGAGGCAACTGATCATGATGAGAACGGCACGGTGATTATGCTGTCAAGTTGGACACGTCAGACGTGCAGTGATTGACAAACGCAGTGGCATTATTCAATTATCAGCCTTTTTAACGGAGGGCAACAAGGCATTCGGCCATGCATACTGGCGATTGTGAAACACCTTCTTCAATGTGGTCCGGAGGTCAGGGAGGTCTGAGGATCAGGTATCGCATCAGAGGGACTGACATGTTGGCACGATGGGAGTTGTTAAAGTGGCCAGTTATGTAGCAAGTTGTTTCGAATATCGTGCGCAGTCATGCCAGAAGCCGTGCAAACAACAACACAACGCCAGCACAACTCGTGGATGTGATTGTGACAGCAAGGATGCACATACGCGGCCCTCTGATCAACACCGTGGCCTGGCGATCGCCATTGGCTAGCTCAATTGAAGCCTTAGAAGAGCAGATCTCATGTGAACCTACAAAAGGTACCTCGACACCAGCAAAAACGTTGGTGCGGCATTCGCTTTGAAATCCACATGATAGTGAGCCTTAGCCAGGATCAAGCGATTACGCTTCGACGCTGGTAGGAGATACTGGCTGCACTACTCACCCTCCTTTTGGCTTCTACATGCACCAGCATGCGAAACAAACGATTCGAAGCGGTTACCACGTCTAGGAGTTGCACCCGTACAGAACACTCCGGCCCTCGTGGCACCACATGGGCAAACATAATGACCAGTGCGATCACCGTGCTCATTGGAAGGATGATAAGCCACAATACTGATGATGACCGCGCGTCTCGCGAAATCATTGTAAACAGCGAAGGGCTTGCAATTGCCACTGCTTCGTCGTAACATGGGTACATACATCTACCACCGTGTCCGCGGCACGGTGGGTCGTGCTAGAATGCTTGTTTGCCGCCTGGAAAAGAATCTGTAGTTCACCTAGGCAGACCATCCGCCCCCACCCCCCGAAGCGCCCGCCCTGGCTTCCTGGCGCCGTTCCCCGCTTCTGGACGGCACTAAGATATCCAAAGGCCGCCCCGGCATGGCTCCACCGAACTTCAAGACCACCCAGAAACGGGAAACGGCCCAACCAGCCCCCACTGGCTCCAAGACCTCCCCAAGATGCCTGCTGCACTGGCACGGTGGCGAGGTTTGCCGCAGGCAGCTGGATAATAAGAAACGTGGAGGAGTGGGAAGAGGAGGGGGTAGGAGGAGGCAGCAGAGGGGGAGAGGAGGGAGGAGGGGAGAAGGACGGAAGCGGGAGCGGGACGGGGGTCGGGAAGGGGAGCGGGGAGCCAGGAGGGAGAGGAGGGAAGAGGAGCACTATCCCTCCTCATCCATTTTCTCGTGCTCCTCCTCCTACCCGGATCTGGCCCCGGGCTCGTTCCCGGTAGGTGCCGCGATATGTCCTTCGACTAGCCGCTGCCATGGCTGCGTCGGCCAGCCCCTTGAGATGGGGGACGGCCCGTCCACATCCATGGCAGCCGGCCGCCAACATTCACGCCCTCTCGGACGGGTCCCGCCTCCTCGAGAGAAGGGGATGGGGGGGCGGGGCCTGGCCCTGCGACCCCATCCACCCTGCACAGAGTTGCGCGGATTGCCCCTTTGAGGCGCTCCTGCGAGTCTCGTGGGGCGGGCGAGTGGCCCCGCGCCATGCATCCACGCTCTCTAGCTACCACTTCGCGCTCCTGCAGGCGTCCCCCGTCCCTCCCCCCCTCGCCCTGACAGGGAATCCCCTCTCCACCTCTTTGGGCGACGAGGGAGAGGACGAGTAGGACGACGACAAGGGCGACGGCGGCGGCAACTAGGACGAGGTGACAAGGGGGAGGGCGAGTAGCAGGAAAAGAAGGAAGAATAGGCGAACCCCCCCAACCCCTACGCTCTCCACCATTCTTCCGCTCCCCATCCCCTCCTGTTCCGGCACCTGAGCAACCGGGCCCCTTCCCAGGAAAACGAACGGATCGCCTCCACTTCGTCACCCGAGGTTTGACCCTGTGGGGAGAAACGAGGTAGTCGTAGGCTGTCAAAGCCTGCGCCGCGGTGGGAAGGGCGGGGTCCTGGCCGTGAGCGGCCAGGCGGGGCCAGTCCAGGAACTCAGGGCTCCGTCACTCCTGCTGTGACGGGCACAAAATCACAAAATGCCGGGTGGTGGTGGGCACGGCAGGTAGCACGGTACAGTCCTGTCCCCTGAACGCCAGTGTGCCGCACTCGGGTCACCTCGGCCATTTGATCGTTGGAGGCTCATGGATGCATGCAACCTGGTCCCCCTTGAGCAAAGGGACTGAAGGGGGTGGTTCTGGGCACCGTGCCTACATGGGGCCAGGTGACCTGCCTGGTCGTCGTGGGTGTTCCAGGGTCCCGACTCATTGAGGCGGAGGCTTGGGTCGGCACCTTTGGGGTGTGTCGCTATCTGAGGTGAGGCTGCGCGCAGGGACATGATCGTGGCCTTCGGGCCTGCTGAAATAGGGTAAACGTTCAGCATTCTCAATTTTCTGGCTGCCTCAGCAACTCTCATTTTGTGAGAACAGTTTCGGCCGCGCAACCGAGCTTCCCCCACTCTGTTTGCGCCTGCTTAACTAAGGTAAGACGTGTGTCTTGGCGGTAGTCCCGGTAATCCTATCCCCTCCTCTTTCCTCCCTCCCTCCCTCCCTTCCTCCTTCCTCCCCATCCCCTCCACAGCTTCCCATCTCTCTCTTCCTCTTCGCCTCCCCATCCCCTCCCCTCCTGTCCCCGTCGACTACCGCTCCACGTGCCCGTCGGCCTCAGATCCAGCCGTCCCAGCTCGGATGGCGGAGTGACAGGCGCAATAAGAAAGCCATACCAATGCGCGGGGGAGACAACACGCGTTCGAGATGATGGTAGCAACAGCGGTGACCCGCCGCATACGCGGTAGCACTGGCAGCACTGCAGTAGCGGTCGGCAGTACCGCTTCGTAGTAGCATAACGATCAGGAGTGGTAGAAGGAACAGTAAATGGCAGTCGAGATAACAATTGAAGTTGTTGCAGTGGTCGTAGCAGTAGTGGTGGTGTTGGCAGTGGCCTGGGTAGTGATGACAAATACTGTGGCGCTCGGTGGCGCACTTCGTTTAAGAATGTAGCAACTCTACAAATGACTCGTGAAGGGTGCGCCCGAAGGCCATTCCACCCTGATTTGGCAACGGCAACCAAGCAAGGAGAGGAAGTAATGATGAGGGCGACAAGGAATGGGCCATATGCATATATGTGGGCAACCTGCGCACCAGAAGTGGAAAAACCGAATCGCATCAGCTCGGATTGCGCGGACAAGTGGAACCCGTAGAACATAATTCGCAATACCTTAAATATATATATATATATATATACATACTAGAACCATCGCGCGCGCTTCGCGCGCGCTCAAGTTCTAGCCAGGATCCTCACCATCGTCATCATCGCAATCATCACCATCGTAGTCATCGTCATGGTCGTGTTCACCATTACCATCACCAGCACAACCATCATCATCACCACCATCATCGTCAGCATCGTCAGCACCATCGTCATCATCGTCGTCGTCATCGTTGTCCTCACTATCATCGTCGTCGTCATCATCATCAGCATCATCATCGTCAGCATCAGCATCAGCATCATCATCATCATCATCATCATTCGTCGGCGCCGTCGTTGTGCTCGTCATCCTCATCATCAGCGTCGTCGCCGTCATCATCATCGGTCTACTCCAGTCCCCTCCCCCTCCTCCTCATTTCCGTTCTATCTCTCCCCATCATCCTATCCTCTTGCTCCTCCTCCTCCTCTTTCTTCTCCTCGATGCCGTCTCCCTGAAGTGGATCCCTGTTCATTCACCTCCTCCTCCTCCTCCCTGTCCTCCCCGCTCTCTTCAATATGTCCCTCCTTGTGTTCCTTCACCTCCTTCACCTCCTTCCCCCCCCCAGAACTCCACGAACGGTGCCAGGGACAGAAAAGCACGGCGTCCCTCCGCCTATCGCACACCTTTCACACGGCTCTGTTGGGAGAATTCGCCCAGCGTCTCCCCGCGTATTTCGACTCGCTCCGCACACAGCTTGTGCCCCGAAGGAAGCTGTTCCGACGGCCCCGGAAACAAGGGTCGCATCCTGCCGCCCCGCCCATGTCGGCACACCCCTGACATGGATCGTGAAGTAGGGGCGTCTTGGAGGCCTCTCAGGACGTGATTCCCAATGGTCTCTTGAAGTCTCTGCAAGGCCTCTTGGGGGCCTCTCGGCGTCTCTTGGGTGCCGCGGGAGCTGCTGGGGGCTTCTTGGGAGCGTCCTTTGGGGGACCGTCTTGGGGCTCCCTGCGCCGGCGACGCAGGGAATGAAACCTGGGATCGCTATTGACATGATGGCCGCGCACGGCAATGAGGACAGAGACCTGGTCCTCGAACCGACGACGACAGCGACTGCGATGGCGACGGCGAGGAGACACCCCAGGCTGCAGAGGAAGAGGGTGGTCAGGGAGTGGGCGTCGGCACCGAGATCAGCTAAGTAGACATGGGCTGTCCCGACGGAGGAGGACGAGGAGGCCACAGAAACACCCATCCTTTCAAAGCTAACATGTGCACGCTAAGCTCGCACCCTCGGCCCCAACTAACACCACACGCGCAGTTCGAGCGCGCTGAGGTTCCAGCAGCCCCCATCCTCTCAAAGCTAACATGTGCACGCGTGCACGTAACCACTAATGGCAGGAGCATGAACTGGAGAGGTAACAATGGCGCAGACCGAACAGGGCCGTAGTACACACGAGGGCGCACACAGACGTATCGAATGCAACGCCATGCAGACCAATGCGAGTAGTAAAACAAACGCCAAACGTTGCAAATGCAGCGCGATTCACAGCATTATTGTTGAATTGAAATGCAATGCACATGCTACTCAATGCAGGCAGCTCAACGGAACGGATCGGAAGGAAGAAGGGGTGCATATGAAAGTGTCCGAAATCGCATGGGGCTCGTTTCGGTGCCTGCTCGGGGGCTCTTGGGGGCCTCCCGGGGGGCTCTTGGGGGCCTTTGGGAGCCTCTAGTGGTTTCTGGGGATGCTCTTGGGGCCGAGGGCCCGTAAAGTGCGCTCGGATCCCGCGTCTGGGCCCCTTCTTGGAGCCGTGTTGGGACTCTCTTGGGCCGTCTTCGAGGCCTCTTAAGCGGTCCCGGGGCGCTCTTGGGCCGTCTTGGGGCCGTCTTGGTGGCCTCTTGGGCCGTCTTGGGGCGATCTTGGGTGCCTCTTGGCCGTCTTGGAGCGCCAGGGAGCCCAAAAGGAGAGAAAGCCAAAAACATCGAAAAACACAATGGAAAATCAACGATTCGAGCCTCTTGGGGCCCTCTTGGAGAGCCTCTTGGAGGCCTCTTGGGGCGTCTTGGAGGCCCCTTGGGCCGTCTTGGGACCATCTTGGGCGTCTTGGAGCGATCTGGGACCGCCTCGGGGCCCTCTTGGACCATCCTGGGGGCCTCCTGGGGCCGTCTTGGAGGCCTCTTGGGTCGTCTGGAGGCTCCTTGGAGGCTCCTTGGAGGCCCCGGGGAGGGGGTATTAAAAAGCGTTCCCCGATGGTTGCGGAGTGGGCGGCCCCGCCGGGGGGGGGGGGGCCTATTTGTTTATTATATATATATATATATATATATATATATTGTCCGCGGGAGCGGGCCAATGATGCAGGTAACGCCCATCGCGGGACAACGCCGGATAGAAAACAATCCGGATTCCGACCTAACAGTTGAGGAAGCAGCAGAAAAAATACAAACGAGGGAGACTTCAAGGGGGAAGGAAGACGACGGTTCGCCCGCCGTCTCAAGCAGGCGCTCCTCTCCTAACGCATCATAGTAAGACGCGGCGGCAGGCTGGGCAGTCTGAGCTCGCACGCCAGTGCATACGCATGCCAGACCCAGAATGCACGACCGGCAGACGGATAAACGCGGGCCAGAGAAGCCTCCAAGGGGAGGAGCAGGTCAATGCGGCAGGCAACCGGCGGTGCCAACGAGCCTAGCCACCCAGTGCGAAAACGCGAATTGGACGCCAGAGCGCCAGGGCGCCCTGGACATCCCAGAAAACTACACGCGGAGGAGGAGGAGGAGGAGGAGGAGGAGGAGGAGGAGGAGGAGGAGGAGCGCCAGTACCTCATGCGTCCATCGGTCCCACGGCACTCAACGCCTTGGGGGCTTCAGCCAGGGATAAGGCCTGGCCATTCCAGGCGGAGGCGGAAGAAGCGAGTAATTGTCAGGCATTTTCGTGAGCGCCGCTTTGAGGGCCACGAGAGATTGAGACAGATCGAGGGGCCGACCGTTCTGCCGCCCATCCATTTCATTGGCTATGTGGTAGATGTAAAAGCACAGGGAAGTAGCAAGCACAGTATTCTCTCGAGTTAAATCGAGCGCTGGATAATGAACTGGCAGCCCAAGTCCGAGACGTATGAGCGGACATGAGGGCACCACCGCACGAGGACGACAGATCAGATGGACAAGGTGAGGGCATCGAAGGTAATGCTCAATACTGTCCGGATGGCGGTGGCAAGCGAACACACAACACCAGCGCTCCGAGGTCACGTGCATGCGGTCCGTTGTCGTCCACCCCACAGCGACCGTTTTCAAGTAAGGCCAACGGATCGAAGCGGGAGCCCGGAGCAGGATTTCTCGAGCCAGGGCCCACCTCTCTCGCAGTCGTGTGGGGGTGACATTAAACCAGGCCCGCACGCGACGCCCAATCAGGAGCTCTAATTTGTCGGGATAGGCTGAGCCAGAAACCGAACGCATAAAATGACCTTGCATCTTGGGCCGGCGTCCCTCCAGTGCGGCCTCACGCACGGCGGCACGGGCACGGCTCTGAGGAGGAGGAGGAGGAGGAGGAGGAGGCTGGCAAGCGAATTAAGGGTCAAGCTCTTCGGGCTGCGGCACAACCTGCAGACGGCGCTCCCGCGCCCGAACCCCGAGAGCCTCAGCCTCCCCGAGAACTGAACCCAAACAGTGCAAGGCCACGCTGAAGGTCGACCCCAGTCCCAGCCCAGACAGTCCCACCCCCTCCCGACGAAGAGGCCAGAGAAGCTCTGGACCGCGGCAGAGCCAGCGAGGGCGGGTCGTCAAGACCCATCTTGCATGAAAGGCATTCGCGAGCAAGTTCTGACCACAAGGTGGCCCGAGAAATCCCAAAACCTTTCTTGGAAGGATGGCGGCCCTGCAACATCCAGGCCAGTTGCCTCTCTCGCCCTGACGAGCGGTGCCCAACGCAGTCCTGAGCAAGAGCGGTCTTGCCTCAATGCCCACCTACAGCACCAATGGAGCCACATGTAGTGCAAAAGGCGAGGGAACCCTGGGCATTCCCAGAGGCGTCAGTCACAGCAGCCTCAATGATTACGTGGCCTCGAGCTGGCCACACATTGAAGTCGGGCCACTCGGCTTTCGCTTCCTGCGCAGCGCTTCCCTCCCCAACCTTCACACTGCCGCCCCGTCCCGCCACCCCAGGGGGGAGGAGGGGGAGAAGAGGGGGGGCGTCAAGAAATATGTGCCTAAACCAGTCGATGCCGACATGATAGAACTGCTCATTGTCTCCAATCCGCGCTTTCGGTTCGGCCGAGAACTGACATAACAGCCCAGCTAACTCGAAGCACCTGTCGACAACAGCTCGACCGGCCTCCGAGATCCTGCCAAGAGCGGCACCACGCCTAGCATATGCATCAGCAGTCGTATTGCCGCGGTACTCTGGTCGACTGAGCTTGTCGCATGCGACATCCAACAGGGCGCAATGGGCAGGCACCTTATGACACGAAGCCCCTTCGAGCTTGTCAAAAACATACTGCCACATGTGAGAGCGAGCATTATCGGGATTCACGACCGCAGCAGGGTTCGCAACATATCCCAGAATACCAGATCACACACCATACATCTGACGCACCAGAAAAAAAATCAAGCACCGCAAACTCTTCGCCATCTCGGGCGACCTGAGCAGGGGCAATTCTGAGGGGCACACGTCCCCCACCCGTCGGTCACAATCACCGCCCATCCCGCCGATCTGATCCTAGGGAGAGCAGGCTCATAGCACGAACCGTCGCAGAAAATGTCAGCTCCTTCACCGAGCACCAGGCCTTCAGCAGGCCAGCTGTGACGACACAGTGTTTCATCAGGGGGCTCAACTGGGCAAGCAATGCCTGAGCCCTAGACGGAAAAAAGCCGAACCCTTTCCGTCGCCGTAAGCATGTCAGGGCTCAGGACATCACGCCTCTGGGACTCGTGAGCTGGGCAATCGAACCGACGATGAAACATAGTTCCAGAAGGCGCCTGACATACATGCCAGGCGGCAGAACTATTCTGACAAGTCATGGAAGCGCTGCTGACACCAAAACCTGCTGGCAAGTAGGCTCCCCAAGCAGTGCCGGTAATGGCCCAACCAGAAAGAACTTTGCTTCGAGATCAGATTCAAAGCCAGCTTGAGAGAGATGAGGTTCCGCCACTCCGCACCAACATCACTCTGTCGAACCTGCTGTTCAGAAACAATTGCCTCTTCGCGCGTTCCGCGTATACGAAGAGTTAAGAAGGCAGGGGGAAAAGAAGGTAGGTTCCAGGCTCTACCCATCTGATTGATTAGACGCTCACTGGGGAGATCAAGCTTCCATCCAATGCGAGCAATCGTGAGCACCAGAGCGGCAACGGATTGCTTAGCGGAGCCCCAAGGCTTAGGTTCGCTAGCAGACTGGAACACATCTTCATAGGCCGAGGGGAGCACCTGCTTCGTGACACTGCGGTGCCACCATACCGACTCAAAAAACTTGACGTCATCAGCCGTCGTCGAAACAAGAGGGTGTCTCTGAGGGGCCCCACAGAGGAGGAAGGTGAGGCCGAGATAGGATACAGGCTGGAGGGGACCAAGGGACCCAGCAGAGGCAACCCGAGGGGGTGCAGGATGAGGAAGAGGAAGAGGAGGAGGAGGAGGAGGAGGAGGAGAGGATTTGGCTTGAGATTCCACAGGACGCACCCGATACTGTACTGCGTAACTGTGTTACCTCTTTGAAACACAAGCCTGAACCTCAAGCGTGTGCCTGGAAAGGCGCCGCGACTCCGTTTCAGTTTCCAGACATTACGAATCATTACAGAGTTAGTTGAGCCAAGGTGCAACAGTTCTACTTGGCGCAGGAGGGCCACACACAAGCGCCATCAGGCGCGTGTGACCGCCTCCATCAATCAGGCGTGTGAGCGATTGTCCCAGCACCACGGTGCTCAGATGACCCTCAACACTTGGAAATGCCAGACGTGCGCCAGGAACGTGAAGAATTGGAATTCCGGATGCGTGCGCGGCCAGAACTACAACAGCAACGGCAGACCGAGGAGCCAGTCAGCGGTCAGGGAGAAGCAGCAGCAGCAGCATTGCCGCCCATGCCGCTCAGGATCGCATCAAAGCACTCGGCGTATCGAACGCCTCCATCTTCGTGGAGAGAGAGAGAGAGAGAGAGAGAGTACAAGAGACCCAGTTCTACAAGAGCGGGATAGAGCAGCAGATGGCCAACATCGCATCGATGACGATAGATGCAAGAAAGACAGGGAACGTGGAGGACGCGGAGAGGCAGACATGGAGTTGATGGCAATGAAAGCATGTGGTATAGCTTTGTTGCCGATGAGGAAGCAAAAGGACGATATTCGCCTCGAGTTTGACACAGCCAAAGACAGGATGACGGCCTCACAGTCGAGGATAAAGGACATGAAGGACCAGGAGTACGAGATCGAGATGGATATCGCGCAGATAGGGAGGTGGTGGAGAGACATCTCAGAGCTACCAAGCGAGCCAAAGGACAAGCACATGGCAGCAGCAACTGGTGCAGATATGGGTGGTGGATGGCATGGCGTGGACCAGCAACAGCAACCGTTGCAGCAACAACCGTCATTGCCAACACCGCAGCAGCCGATGCCTCAGCGTCCTCAGATACAGCAGCATGGGCAGCAAGCGCAGCCTGGTCAACCTGCTCAGAGTGGAAGGGCAGCACCGATGTACGGGGCAGGAGCAGCAGATGGACCCCATCAGCCGCCTCCAGCCAGCCCAGCAGACGACGATGGCGATGGGCCCCAACATGTTGCAGATGCTGCACTTCGTGAAGGCAATGAACGAGAAGCAGCAGCAGCAGCAGCAGCAACAGCAGCAGCAGCAGCAGCAGGTGCATGTGGCCACGTCTTTGGTGGGGTTGCTACAGAATCAGAGTGTGGGGCTTACGGCAGCCCATGCTGGAGGAGCGCAGGCAGGAAGGTGTACCAGCGCCAAGGACGCCAACCAACCAGTGGGACCCAGACCACCGACGGGAATGCCAATACCGATTTCGCCAGTCGGGGGGATGCCGACACCGTCGTTCCAACCAGCCCAAGGGACGCCGCCAACATTGAAAAAAACGCTCTTGACACCAACCGAAGGGGCACCTACACCGCGAGTCAACGAAGAGATGGAGAGGCCGAGAGCAGACCCGCATCCGCCGAAGGGGCCGAGTCCATCGCCAGCCTACAGAGCCGTCGGTGACAAGCGCCACCCAGGAGGACCCGTACTTGCCGGGGAATTGTGCGCCGCAAGAGTCGGTGATGGGCATTGCCAAGACGGAGATGAAGGAGGAGATGACCATCAGCCCGCAGTGCCGCGCGATCGACGAGGCACGTGCAGCAGCGGCGGTGATAGCGCCAACAGCGAGTGCACCAGAGTCGGCTTCAAGGGCGGGGACAGCGACATCAAGGGGAGTCGTCAACCAGGTCTCCCAGGAGCACGACGTGAGGTCCCCGCCGACGAGGCGGCCAAGACCGGCGTCATGGGAGGCGTGTGAAAGCGCAGGTGAGCTGGGCCCCCTGTCTAGAAAACAGTTCTCCTGAATTAAGCATCCTGGGTCCTATCTTGGGAGGCAGTCGATCCAGAATAGGGGGAGTTGTTTTTCAACCAGCTCTAACTGCAACAATTCGAGGTTGGACGGTGAGCAGCCTGCGGCCAGAAACCAAGCGGCCCATGCATGTGCAGAGGGGACGGCATCGGGACAAAAAGTGTCTTCTTCGGCAACCGCGGCAGTGGCTGGTGGAACGAGTGAAGCGTCCAGTGAGTGGGCTCCTGGGCTGGCTTCCAGAGTATCGCATCAGGATCCCGAGTAAAGCTAGTCGAGAGTGCATTGCCCATGCTTGAGCAAACTATTGCAGGTGAGGGCACGTCACTTAAACTTTTAACTCCAGAGGAACTTCGGTTCACAGGCCTTTTGGAACAAGAGGCTGAGGTAGCGCTTAGGGCTTACCCTCATTGCGACTCGGTCGACGAGACCACGGCGATACATGTTTTCACTGACGGCTTATTATACCAGCGAGTTGAGGGGAAAAGAGCTTGGGCGGTAGTAAGGATCATGGAGAAGGGAGGGAGGTGCATGTAT